TTCTAATTTTAAAAAATTTCTTATCAAAATCCTGTTCTCTGGAAACAGTGTAAGCACTGAAGTTATATTCATGCAATTGCAATACCCTCATCTAAATCCATCTGGGTAAATTTTCTTTCTCCCTATAAAAAAGGAACTTGAATGGTATATTACACTCTACAGAAAAAAATTCAGTATTATTAACATCATCCTCATCTTCTCCATTTTCTTTTCAGTAGTATGTATCATATCTGTATGAAATGTATCATATCATTTCTTTAAGCACATAACATCCCTCACTTTATAGACTTCTTTTTTATCTTATAGGAAAATAATATGGTATCATGACAATTTAAATATTTCTAAAACCATCAGTTATAACATGCTACTAGAGCTTTCTGTGTCTTAAAAGGATTGAAAACTTGTATTCTTGTTTTTGTTGGGCTACACTGGAGAAATTTTCAGATCTCAGAATATGAGTGTTTGAGAAAAACTACATTTTGTATAATTTGTATACTTCCATTTATTTTAAACATTCATATTTGATGAACAACTCTTTTCTTTTAAGCCATTCCAGAGGCTGTTTAATAATTACTATGCAAGTACTAAAGATTACATTGCTGCATGTTTCATAGCCATTGAAGTAAAAAATGGAAACGCATTTCCAAAACCATAGAAGATCAGAATCTAACAAGGGAGACATATGCACATAAATAAATAAAATACAACTTGTATAGTAAGTACTTTAACAGTTGTTAGTGGTTAAAGCACTGGCTGCTAACCAAAAGGTCAGTGGTTCGAACCTACCAGCTACTCTGCCGGAGAAAGATGTGGCAGTCTGCTTCCATAATGATTACAGCCTTGGAAACCCTATTGGTCAGTTCTGCTCTGACCTTTAGGGTAGCTATGAGTCAGAATCGATGGCAGTGGTATTAACACATGCAGCTCTAAAAGAGATGACAATAATTTAACCTTCTCTATTCATTTAGATCGAGAGAAGTTAATAAAATTATTACGTTTATACAACTAATTACTAGAGAAGACAGTTTCTGTCTACATGTAACTTTCTGTCGTAAAACTATGAATTTCCACAATAGAACTCACATTTGCTTACTAATTTCAGAACCTCAGCTCCCAAAACATATACTGTTATTGTCGTTAGGTGCTGTTTAATCTATTTTGACTCATAGCAGCATCATTAGGCAGAGTAGAAGTGTCCTATGGAGTTTTCTTGGTTGTAATTTTACAGAATCTGATTGCCAGATCTTTCTTCCAAGAAGCCACCGGATGGGTTTGAGTTGCCAACCTTTTAATAATCAGAGCAGCTGAATGCTTAGGCATTTGTTACATCCCCTAAAAATAAAAACCAAACTCACTGCCATGAGTCAGTTTGACTCACTGCAACCCCTCCTTGGGTTTCCAAGGCAGTATCTCTACAGAAGATTGCCCAATCTTCCTTCTGAGAAGTAGCTAGTGGGTTTGAACCGCCAGCCTTCTGGTTAGCAGTCAAATGCCTTAGGTACTATGCCACCAGAGCTCCCATTTGCTACATCAGTGGTTACAATTCAACTTAAAACCTACCTTCTTCTCTCTCTCTCTCTCTCCCCCCACTCCCCAAAGATTAAACTGGAAGACTAGCTATTCTTCTCATACACATTAGAGCTCTATGCTTCCAAACCTCTCAGGCTACGCTACATTCATATTATCTTTCCACTGGAATATCTCTTCTGTGACATTATCCTATCTGCCGTTTTAAAATGTTACCCATGTGATCTCTTTTACCTTTTAAACCGTATTCAGATGAAATCTTTACCTCTTCTGAACTTCTTTATTACCTGCATTTCCTTAAGACATCTCTTTATAATCTACCTTACAGTAACATCAGTATTTATTTCATCTTTCTTGCTAAATCATAAGCTTCCTGAACGCAAATACTATTTGTTAAACTCATCTTTTAAATGCTCTTATATAACAGTAGTACGAACAATGTAGGCACCATTATTAGTCCCTAAGCTGCACAGAAATGCCTCTAAGCCACATTTTCTTTTTCACATCATCAGAAAAGCTTCTAAAAATAGCTTTGTAAATACATAAGGGAAGATTAATTTGTATTAACATAGCTACCACAAAATTTTTCTTTTTTGTTTTTGTGAGGAATAAGGGAAAGTGGATTGGATAGTCTACTAACTCAAAGAAAGTCAGAACCACCACCAAATAGTGTTTAAAAAAAAAAAAAAGGTAACAAAATGAGATAAAGAAGCTTATAAAGGCCAACATAAAATTAGAAGTAAAGAAATACTTTTTATCAATAATCTCCATAGAGTTTTACATCAATATCTGCTCTTACATTTAAATACTAAGATTTAAAAAGTGACGTAGCTTACCAGATCTGCTCCCGCCTGAAGTAAGACATCTGCCACATCAGTATGACCATTTTCACAGGCATATGTTAGTGCTGTATCTCCCGTTGCTGTGGTTGCATGAACATTAGCTCCTGTAACAGTATTACAAACAACAGACTTTATAAAAACAAACTTAAAACATAAATTAGACATAGAAATTTCTCCTAGATAACTCATATTCCCTCAAATTAGACAAAATAGCCCTGTTTCAATAAAATAAACTGTCAGCACTTTTACACTAGAAGCAAAAAAAAAGGTAACTGCTAAAAGACACTTTAAACAGCAGTAAAGTAAGTCATTTATTCAGAATACATGCAAAAGAATATCACATTATTTTATTAAAAGCAAAAAAAGTTGGATTTAAATATATTTACTTAAATAAATCATGTAAAAAAAATTCTCCCAAATGCAAAAAAAAAAATATATATATATATATCCTACCTGCAGCTAGTAAGTATTTCACTAACTCCAAATGACCCTCTTGAGCAGCTTCCATTAAAGGAGTAGAACAGCCTAGTTCTATATCAGCTCCTGCTTTAATTAGAAAGTCTGCCACTTCCAGAAACCCTCCACAGCAAGCCAGAGTCAAGGCAGTCTCTTGAGTTTCTTCTGTCTGTGCATTGATATTTGCTCCTAAAACAAAAATCCCAATTATTTAAAGAATGTTATTCACTTATCCCAGAGATAAGCAAATATAACTGTTTCCTAAAAATTAATATTTCAAAAAATGAACTGCTTATATTAGCATACTAAACAAGAAACTGTGTCTCTCCTACTGTTGGAGGCTAAAATAAAATTCTAAATTACATCCACTAGTCCATAGTTGGGAGCTCTGGTAGCATAGTGCCTAAGGCACTTGACTGCTAACCAGAAGGCTGGAGGTTCAAACCCACCGGCCACTCCTCGGAAGGAAGGTTGGGCAATCCTACTTCCGTAGTGATACTGCCTCAGAAACCCAAGGAGGGGTCGCTATGAGTCGGGGCCGACTCGACGGCAAATAACAGCAATAACAACAGTCCATGGTTGGTATACACAGCTGTAATAAAATCAAGTCAGCCAGAAGGTACAAGCTACACCCTTTCACTTTAATAATTAAAAAATAATGATGATAAAGAGGCTGCTTCTGAGGATGGTAATAATAGCAAATATTTAATAACAAATATTTAAAACGCTATATATTATTTAGGTATCAGTATAAGCTCCATTTTATAGCTAAAGAAATTGAAGGTCGTTAACTTGCTCAACGTCACAACAACATCATCACCATCAGCACCGTAACTGACACTTAGCAGGCACTGTGTGATACTCATTATTTTAAGAGCTTTATATGTGTGTGTATGTGTGTGTGTGTGTGTGTGTGTATAATTTCACCTCACAGCAACGCTACAGCTGAGAAAACTGAGGTATTAAGAAGTTAGTAGTGAAGTTGTGATTCATACCTACTAAGTCTGGCTCTAGAATTTATGCTTTTAAAATTCTAGTTGAATATTATCTTCTAATGAAGATAAAACAATTTATGTCAAATACTTATTAATAGGTTATTCTGCCCCCTAAGGAACTCCCTGGGTATATCAGCTTGAAAAATACTCATAAACCTCTCTACATAACCCACATCCCAACACCATCCTAAGCATCCTCTCTTTTTCATTCACATAGCACATAATGGCTCTAAAAGGTCTGTATTTGATCTTTAGTTTGGATAACAACATCTCATTAGAAATTTACTAAAAATATGAAAATCTGAAATTCAATTTTATAGAATTGTAATCTTCCTGTATTACACATTTACGCTTCAGTGCCTTGACGGATATAGTTACCTTGGCCTAGTAGTAACGCCACCATTTCTTCATGTCCTTCACGAGCTGCCTCCATCAATGGTGTATAACCTTCATCATTGACCTCTTCCAGGCTAGCTCCTCTTTCAATAAGTAACGCTGCAAGTTCCACATGCCCACCACATGCAGCCAAAGTCAACGGTGACTCAAATGAATCAGCAGGCATGTTCACTTGGGCACCACTGTCAAGAAGTAACCTAGCTACTTCAACATGGCCATCCTAATTATAATGCAATTTAAAAAATAAAAAATAAAAATTTAAAAAATATTTAAAATTTTGAAGACATCTCAATTATTATGTAGTGAAATTTACTAATCACCACTACTCAAGTAAAAATTAATGAATCTAGTTTAGCAAAGTCAATCAGTAATTATGAACTTCTGCCTATATTTCATTAGTAAGTCAAGAATATAAAACAAGTAGAAAAATGATACCTTCAATAAAGAGGCTTAATAATCATCAGGGAAGAAAACAGTAAGAACATGAAATAAGAGCCTACTATAGTGGGTAAGACACTTGCCTGCTAACCAGATGGCTGGCGGTTCAAACCCACCAGCCACTCCTCGGAAGGAAGGTTGGGCAATCCTACTTCCGTAGTGATACTGCCTCGGAAACCCAAGGAGGGGTCGCTATGAGTCGGGCCGACTCGACGGCACATAACAACAACAACAACATGAGATCACAGATCATCAACACTGCATAGCACAAACTTAGGTGCTAAAAGGGTAAAGTTTACAGAAGGTAACACAAAACCCTTAATAGTGACAAAAATTTTAATTAAGCAGAAAAAAAAAGAAGTACGTTCTGAGAGAGTGAAAAGAAGGGTACATTATAGATTAGTGAAAAGGGAACATAATACATACATGGCATATTTATTGTTCACCACTCACTCAAATGCCAGGAAAATACAAAAAACAGGAAGGAAGTTCTCTCTTACTATCTTCCTATCTTTTACCTGTCATCCTTTCTTGAAGAGTTCCTAATTATTGGCAAATCCGACATGCTCTTTGCCCTCTTATTTCTTCCTTCTGTATATTATCTCCAGGCATTTTGCTCTCTTTTAAATCTGTTATACACATTTTTGCCTCCATGTTCACCTCTTTACACAAATGTCATGTCTTATTACTATGGTAACTTTACTGTTCCTTCAGGTCAAAATGTCCTCTTCTGCATAAAAATTCAACTTGAAAATTTCCTTTAAAGTCCAGTTTAAAGCCTCTAATCTTTTTACAAATCTTTCAAATGTCCAATACTTATTTCTAATGTATAGGCTAAGAACATCATTCTTCTGTTTCTTAATTTTCATATAGGTTGTTTTCCCAATGATGGGTCATAGGATGATTTAAGTACCTCATCATATGGAACAATAATAATATTATTGTAACTGCTAATAACAATGATTATTATTTTAATGGTTTTTGCCAGATCGTCTTATTTAATCCTCACATGAACCCCACTCATAAAAGGCTATTATCTTCATTTTAGAGATGTGGAACCAAGAAACTTTGAAGCACACTTAAATTTGTTCAAAGGAAATGGAAATAAGGAAAACAACAGATAACTCAAGTCTTAAAGGGCTACCTAGTATGTTTAAAAATAAATAAAAAGAGTAAATAAAATGTAACATCCTTTTCAATACTCAATTTTTAAAAGGAAGGGACAAGAAACTTCAAATTTACTTAGTCCTTTCTCTTATCTCTGTCTATAATGTTACTGATTCATCCTGTGTCACAAATCATAGAATGAGACACAGAGGTTTAAGAGCACTATTATTACTCATAACCAAGTAAAGGCTCTAAAAAATCAATATAAAGTTATGTGAGAAAAAGAAAGTGAAGGTGGTAGTGTAAAGCTTCAGAAAGTAACTCGAATAGCAGTTAATATTATACAACCCGATCTGAAAACAACTGAAAATTCAAATAGCTAAGGTTCTCCACAATAAGGCCACAATAAACAGAATCTTTGTACCCAATAAAACGGTAATCATCATACAATGTTAAGTCTCTCTTTCTCTACCTAAGATACACACACACACATACATACATTTATATATATTATATACATATATAATGTATATTTTTCACTAATCTTACCATGCAAGCCTCCATTAGAGCAGTATGCATTTCATCTGTTTTATGCTCTTGATCCGCGCCTGCTGCCAAAAGAAATCGCACCATCTCTAGATGTCCTAAACCAAAAGCATATAAGATTACTTAAAAATATTTTATTATTCCAGAGTTAAATATAAAAAAAAAATTATGATATTCTCAAAATGGTTATATTTAACTTCTAGCATTTAATTTATAAGCATAATATGAAAGCCAGCTACAAGCCACCCTCAACTACTGAAAACAAAATTATACAAGTGATCTTAGCTATTCCACTCCTTACCCAATTACCCTATAAACTGCTGCTACCAAAATCCCTGCTACAAATGAGCACTGATGCTTTTAAAATCCAACACCCAGAATATCCCCTCTATAACCTTTTAAGAACTCAAGCATGCTGTAATTATCCTTTTACTTATGCTATGGATTAAAACAGTTTTCATGATATCATTCAAATTATTCCTATAAGGAAGTGTGTTTTAAGTTCCAATAACTAATTTACATACATTTTAGGAACAACATGTTTGTGAGTTGGGAAATGCATATATGAAACATTTCTGAAAAAACACAATTTGCTTTATATTTATTCATTTATTTACATATAAACATACACACATACACACACACACTCATATTTATACACATTCAAAGAAATAATATGCTCTAATTCAGAAAAGACACCTTATTAGTGGTTAAAATACAGAAGACAAATTGTATTTTAAAAAGGTCTTCAGGTACTATGCAAGAAATGAACAAAAAAGGATTCTTTTGTTTTTTTAAAAAGTTTTATTTGGACTGAGCTATAGTTAATTCTTAATCCACTGGAAATGGGAGAAAGGGTAGATGGTCATAGAGAAACAGTTAAAACAAAATTCATTACAGTAAATACAGTAAAACAAAACTTACTACATTTGTTACATCTCCTTTTTGCTAACTACCTACACCTCCCTCTTCCTGTCATTCTCCCCTTCCAAAGATCTGCATCAATGTTTATTCTCAGCCTGAGTTCTACCCCTTCCCCATCTCCTCCCTATCCATCTATGTCCTAGGAAACCTCACCAGAAATAGAGGAAGGGGAGAGGGTCCATGGATCCCTGAAGGTAGTAGAGATGTTCTCCACCAGCTCAGGTCTAGATCCAGCTTCTAATTAAAGCCTGCAAGACCCAACCTCAGTTGCCCCTTTTGGAAAGCAGGGTGGGGCTAGAAGCAAAGGGGAGAGGGAAGAGTAATTATGCGTAGCACCATTTCAAAGTTCTTCTGGCCAGCTGGGACTCAGTAGTTATATACTGCCAGTTTGGGTTCAAATGTATAGGCGAAAAAGGCCTCCCAATCAGCCAGCCAGAGGCTGCCCACGGCTTAATTCTTCTTTTGCCAATGAAGATCAGCCTTGGCCTCATTATCAAACCAGGTTGGGGAAGTAAAGGATTTCAGCTATGCTTCCTAAAGATTATTAATCTGAAAATCTGTTCATTCAATACCAGATAATCAAAAGCATTTAGATAAAGTACATTTTTTAATTTAATTTTTAATCATTTATGTATCCAACCATTATTTGAACCATGTATTTTGAAGTTATTATTCCAAAAGACACCAGATAATCCTGGACACTCTTTAAAGTAATGGAACAAAACAATAGTATGGCCTGGGCTAGCAGGAAACAAAAAAGCACCCAGAGTAGTAAATTAAAGTACAAAATTTAAGGAGGCACTCACTCAATTTCATGCAAATGATGGGTCAGCCCTAGAGAGTACTGACTCCTTTAATTTTGTACTCTGCCTTACTCCATAAGGAGGCATTATCTCTCAATCTCAGGACCCCAGAAATTTCTCCCTTAGCTTTTTCATGATGCCTCAGGGTCATGATTTATCCATTATTTTATGATGCAAATATGACACAGCTGCAGATGAAACACTGATTAATTAATATGCAGCCATAAAATATTGTAAAAGTTGCTTTTGTAAAATAATAGTTCTTTACTTTATAGGCAATTATCTGCCACAGAAGTGGAGTAAAAAATATTCAGCTCTGTTCTTTTTAGAATGCAACACATTAGCTTTTCAAAGACTAAGTACAGCTTTCCAGGCAACTGTATTGTCCTCCCAAGGGAGGCTATTTTTTCATATTACCAATATTTTCTAGTTAGTTCATGTGATTTAAAATATTTAAAAATTTCTCTTCTTGTATCTCCTCCTATCCCTTCCATTTCTGTTTTGTTTTTGGTATCATAAGAAATAGCTGGCTATTATCATTACTTTTAAACCTGCCTGTTGAATACTTCCAAATTTACAAATATGCAATGGAATTCTTTTGCATAAAGGTGGCAGATAATCTGACATGCAAGACCTATTAAAAAGAACAGCACATATCAAAAGTAAGTAACTCCAAGTCTCTGATAATTCAATCATTAAGTCATTTTCTACTGACAGTATTTAAGACATGGAGTCCATATTTTAAAAACATAAATATTCAATGTTTAATTTTTAAACACGCTCATTTAATATTCAATTACATACTATATACCATCATTCATAATTCAATTCACTTTTTATCTAAGATTATAGAAAATAACTGTAATTACATGTGTTTAAAAACTTTAAGAAAGGATTTTATACTGTACCTTTGTAACATGCTAAGGTAAGTGCACTCTCTTTGAATTCATTGGAATGCGTATTAATGCCAGCCCCATTTTCTAGCAGCAATCTGGCTACTTCCACATGTCCAGCACTTCCAGCTTCCATAAGAGGAGTATGACCATTTTCATTATGGTCCTCAATACTAGCACCGGATTCCAAGAGCACCTTTACAACATCTACATAGCCTCCAGCACAAGCATATGTAAGTGCTGTATTGCCTGTTTTTTGAGGAAAGAAAAGAAGACATTAACATAAAAATGTAGCCTCTAATTTAAATCAAGTCTCTCATTTAGCATCATGAAGAAAACTGAAATTGAGAATACTGTTTATAAAAATATATATAGAGAGAGGCATATGTATGTGTATATACATGTATAAATATATGTTATTAATCAGAGAATTGTTTCTCACACTTTATATTTTTAATTTAATCTTTTCAATCAAAAAGTGTGTGTGTGTGTGTATACACACACCCGTACCGTTCCTTTTAACTATATGCATTTGTTTTCAATACAACTTTAAACACCCGTTAACTCATCAAAAACTTCCTTGATAAAAAATCTCCCATACAGTAAGAAAATAAACCTTTTGGATAAAAGAATAGTTTATAAACTCCTCAAACCAAAACTTTTAGATCTTAATAATTATTTCAAATATCTAAAAATAAAATGTAAATGCTTACATGCAGGAAATACAATATACCTTTTAATGTAATTTGAGAGTGTTCACACAAATCCATCCAGGCCCAAGATGGAAATAAAAAATCAGTTCCAACTAAACATATATCCCTTCCATGATACAATGTTTTCAAGTAAGACTACTTTTCTGTGGGCCACAATTTTAATAATGGCAGGGAATGATGGCCTGTCTTCTGTTCCTATTCTTACTCTAGCCCTCTTACTCTAAACCTCACACAGACTTACGCAAATTGCACAACACTTATAATAGCAAAAGTATCACTAATGGTCATTTTCATATCAAACATTTATTAGCAAAGGGTGTTACTACACAGCAAAACAAAAAAAGAAATATGCATTACCCGTTGAAGACTGTGCATTGACATCGGCTTTATGAGCTAGCAGCAACTTCACAATTTTGACATGTCCTCCATTAGCAGCAGCCATTAAAGGTGTAATGTCACCTTTGATTCCTCTATCTTCCACATTTGCATGCATTGCTAACAAAACCTTATGGGGAAAAAAATAAGTTTAAAGGATACTAGCAAATGATAATTCTATCAAAAAAGAAAATGCTGAAGAAATGTTTATTTGTAATGTAGTAAAAAGACCAAAAACCACAGAATATTTAGCTAGCAATTTATTTGCTGGAATGAACCTAACAGTCCAAGTCTTTTACTTCATTATTTCCTTCCTAAACCAAAATCAAACCCTCTGCCATCGAGTTGATTCCAACTCATAGCACCCCCCACTGGGTTCAAAAGTTGTAAACTTTCGGAAGCAGATTGCCTTACCTTTCTCTGGCAGAGCAGCTAGTGAGTTTGAACTGCTGATCTTCTGGTTAGCAGCCAAATGCCTTACCCACTATGCCACCAGAGTGCTTTACTTCCTTACTGAGTAGGCCATATAATAAAGCACAGCTTTATTAGATAATACAAACCTGTGCAAGCTCATAGTATCCAGCAGAACAAGCTAAACAAAGGAGGCTCTCCCCTTCCTCGGTATGTTCATTTACACTTCGTCCTTCAATGAGTAATTTGCGCACAGCATTCACGTCTCCTTCTGAACAAGCTTCTGCTAAACTGCGGCTATTAAGGGAAGAATATTATAAGGATATCAGAATTACAGAAATTATACAGCAGTACTAAACTAGAATGAGTATTTCGATGCTACGACCAATGACAAAAAGAAAAAATGTGCTTCATTCAGTTGACTGAGTTTTTAGTACCTACATTTAAAGGTCACTGATTAAAAATATTAATCCAAAATGTTTTCGGATATGCAACTGCAGGATGGGGTAAAGTCTAACTTACTGCAAGTGGAGAAATAACAAAACTTTAATATATATATAAACTTTTATAAAAATATTTATATATACATA